CTGGAATAGAGTCCCACATCGGGCTCCCTGCTCAGCGGGGAGCCTGCTTCTCCCTCTCCCTCTGCCTGCCGCTTCCCCTGCTTGTGTTCTCTCTCTCTTTCTCTGTGTTAAATAAATAAAATCTTTAAAAAAAGAAAAGAAAAATAAATATTTCAGTATCTGGAATGAAGACAGACTAAGAAATATTTTTGCTCTACAATGAGACAAAGAGTGAAATTGCCCTGTAATTATTCCTGAATCACAGTGCAACTTAAGTTCTTGGAAACAGGAGCAATCTGTTGGTTAGTGGATGACTGTTGCCCCTGGTTCATACATCATATCTGGCTGAAGTATCAGAGAGGGAATTTCAGAATACATGTCTGGGGATACTGGTGTGAATGAGACCAGCAGAAGGAATTTATAATTCTACATACTTAATGATTGCTACTGACTTAGAGCCCAACCCATTAAATGAAAAAAGTTTAATAGGAAAGAAACACATTAAAATCAGTTCATTATCAACATATTGTCTCCTCAATTCTATGATACTATCAATTTCAGTGATAATAGCTTTTTGAGAAAATGCTGTTAAATGTACATAGGATTGCAAGATGTACTCAATTTTGGAAACATTATACCTGTGAAAAAACTGCTTCTCAGAATTAAGGAAATGCAGTGATAAATACATTTATTGGGAGCCCCCTCTGGGTGCCATCTGTCCGTGCAGGTGATGAAGCTAAGGGGAAACCTGCACAGGTGGAAGGCCTCAGTCAGCTTCCTGGGCTGGCGTGTGCATGAGGAGCAAGAGCACCAGTCACACACATGCTCAGGACTGGGAAAAAATTCAGAAACACCAGACAGCGGGAGAAGATGCCAAGACAAGACAGCAGTCACAACAGCATCAGCAACAAAAGTGACCCAAAGGGAGCATCTTACATACCTACACACCTACATATCACATCAAAATGAAGCTACTCAACACACAGTCAAACCACCATCCTCCCCAGCTCCCCCAGAGCAGAGAGCACTGTGTGATCTTACACACGGCTCCTGGCTGAGCCCAGAGGCAGGGTCACACTCGCTCTGAAGAAATCAGCAGGGCTGCCTCATCCGCACGTGCCAGTTGCACGACACACAGACAATGCTCTGAACGGACACTGTCTTCACCTGGGACTGAGACACTGTCGGAACCCATATTCCCATCCCAGCCCTGCGTTCACGGCAACCACCGCAGTCCAACGACCTGCCGTGCTTTCAAATTAAATGCAGCACCTGTGCGTGTCCACGTGAGCTTGCCTCGCTCACTTTAATGTCCACTGCGGTGTGTCCCAGGCACTGATTGAGATCTCTAATTACAAAGTTAAATCATGCATTTATTTACCCTTCCTTGTTTTAACTTAATTTGACAGAGGTAGAGACGGAAACTCTCTGGAAATGGTCAATCATGCGTTCACGGGACCTCCTTCCATTCACATAAAAAACAGGTAACGGACAGCAGTTTATTTTATTTTTAAAAACCAGTTCTGCAGAAGAAGAGTCAATTATCCGCCACCCATCCGACTTCCTAAGACAGGGGAAAACCAGTAAAAGCTCACTGAGTACAATGTTAATCTAAATTCATTATATCATATCCTCAGTGCAGGAAGTGCTGTTTTACAATGCACTGCTTTCCTAGAAACCGTATCAGTGAGCGACTGGGTCACTGTTAAGCAGACCGTATTAAAATGAGTCAATGTTCACCTGTCAGACTGACCGAAATTAAAAAGATTGATAATACATCTACTTATGCACTATGGGAGGGAGTCTATGAAATTGGTAAGTAGCTTTTGGAAAAAGCAACATGGCAAAATAAAAATTCAAAAGTGCACACTCTTTAGCAGCTATACCTCTACATAAATACCTTGGAGAAGTATTTATACGTGTCTACAAAAAGGAAGGCCGGAGAATATTCACTGTCCTAATACTAAAATAACACTAAAAATTATAAATGACCTGACAGTCCACTGAATGGGGACTGGTTCAATAACCTATGGTGCATCTATTCTCTGAAATACTATGTAGCAATTAGAAAGAATGAGGTAAAACTATGTGTATCAACATGGAAAGCTCCCTGAGGCATTGTCAAGGGAAAAAAAAGCAAGGTAGATGAATACTACATCTAATAAAATTTTTTAAAGATTTTATTTATTTATTTGACAGAGGGAGAGACAGCAAGTGAGGGAACACAAGCAGGCGGAGCAGGAGAGGGAGAAGCAGGCTTCCTGCCAAGCAGGTAGCCCGATGTGGGGCTCGATCCCAGGACCCTGGGATCATGACCTGAGCCGAAGGCAGATGCTTAAGTGACTGAGCCACCCAGGTGCCCCTACATCTAATAATTTTTAAAACCATGTTAAAAAAAAACAAGACATACTTTTGTTTTACATATTTCTCTACATACTAACACAGTGTGTAGATACATTCATAAGACCTAGACAGAGACAGACCAATCACATACAGTGAGTCCCTGAGAGAAAGGTGGGCATGTGGTTTTCAACATTTGTGCTGTCTGCATCTTAATGAAAAGGTACTGATGAGTTCTTTAGAGAATTAAATTTAAATATCTTTTTTAAAGTTATGCTTTTATTCCCTGGCTTTCACTCTTTTCCTCTTCTCAAGTCTTGGCAAAATGCACTGTCTCATCTACAAAGAGCCACAGTGTTTGAGGGCACACTTTTCTCAGCCTGGTCTTCTACCCATCAACATACAGATGTCCTCTCTTGGACTACCTACACACCTGCCCACATGGGTTCTGTAAGAGGTGGGGAGACAATAACTGAATTTATAATTTTGACAAATAAATACATAACTGGAGCGGTAGTAAGGCATTATTTTATCTAAGTATTAAGTCAGAGAAGTTGATTTTTGTTTTCACCTTAATATTCTTCTATTTTCCCATTATACAATGATTCATGTACTAACTATCCAATTGGAAAAAAGTCTAACGCAGTGAACTCAATGGGGATGATTCTGCACACACACACATACCACCACCCCCACCCCCCAGCACATTTCTCAATGTCTGGGGACATTTTTGGTTGTCATAACTTGGGGCATGGCTGCTACTAGCACCTAGTAGGTAGAAAGCAGGGATGCTGCAAAACATCCCACATCGCACAGGACAGCACCCCCATGACAAAAAATTATCTGGCCCAAAATGTCACTAGTGCCAAAGTTGAGAACCCCTAATGCAAATATACCACACATAAGTAACATATCCCTATTTACGTTCCACTTGTTTCGTTTGCTTCTTTGATTATATAATAGGCAGAGGGAGAGCCTTGGCTCTTACCTGCACAATGAACTGGTAGAGCATAACCAGGCTAACCAGCATGGTGATGTTGGCCAACAGAGAGAAGACGGACAGGGCTCGGAGGTTCCTGACAAAAACCAGCAGCACCAGGAAGGGCAGGAAGGTAAGCATGTAGAGTCGCGAGTCCATGGTGGGCATCAGAATAACTGTCTCATTGTTGTGGCAGTTGTTGGTGGTCCCATTGGCTGCTTCTATCACCTAAATTGAGGGGAAGAAATGCAACAGAAAAGGCCTCTCAAATGGCAAAGGCCAGTGTACCTCCCACCAAAAGGGGCTCCTAACTAAAGGCTCCGTATGTGAACAAAGCCATACAGAAGCCCGCAGCCGGTGAACCATCTTCCAAGATCTTCATAATTGTCATCAGTAACCCAACTGTCTCAGCTGGGTTTGATCATATCTTACCTAAAGACAGGAGGCTAGACATGGTATCTTGAAGTTTCTCAGTGCCCTAGGTCTTTAGATGAAATTAAGCAAAAGACACTATTCTATGTAAGATGTTAAAAATCTTAATTCTTTTGTTGACCAAAACTGGCTTAGAAGGAATCCTAAACTAAAAGTCCACTCATCTCTTGCCATTTTTTTTTTAAACCAGGGCCCTACCTGTTTAAAGTTGTCAGCCAGAAAGACAAAATAGACACAGCAGAATCCCAGCTGCGTGACGATCAGGAAGAAGTCCACAATGTGCCTGCGGATGGGGAAGGGAAGAATACAAAGATCAGGAGGATAAAAAGCAAGATTCCCAGAGAGATATGTGTTTGAACAGTGCTTTTTCCCAGGTCATCATAGACCCTTCCCACCAGATCACAAGGATGAGTGTGCCCTGATAAAAGGAGAAATTGTGCTAGGTACCACCAGTCTGGAGCTTTGGAGGAAGGTGAAGAAGGTCCTGTGTGGTGACTGAGGTCCCCTTCCTATGTCTTGTGTGGAATGCTGCATGGGGTCAGGCAATCCCAAATCAGAATGGCCAGAGTGGAGCATACCCACCAGGACCACAGACTAGTCCCTTTGTCCTCCTCCTCCCCACGGCCTGCCCATGCCATCTCACACCGTTTCTTCTAAAACTACAGGGAGCCCTCAGCATAAAGCCCAGGAAGTAGACCCCTTCACCGTCTCTTTCTCTAACTTGGATCCAAGAACCAACCTACTCTCACATAAATACACGGGAATAGATGTACCAGAACAGACCGCTGGTGGAAGCACTGTTACAACAATAGCTGGTGACAACCTAAAGGGTCATCAAAAGGAAAATGATTAAATGACAGACCATTCTTAAATGGAGCAGTATACAGCAGGGAGAAAGAATATGTTACACCTATATGTGCTGATAGAGATATGTCTAGGACCTTTAATAGAAAAAAACAAATTTCCAAATAGTATGCACAGTATGGTCAATTTGTGTAAAAAAAAAAGGTTAAGAACATGTGTATGTTTGTATACATACAGAAAATTCCAGAAGTATACCCATGCAACTGTGACCAGCATATACTTTTATTTTTCACTTTATGAATGCCTATTTTGTTCAAAAAAAATTTTTTTTATCATGAACACACATGAACTTCATTAAAGAAAGAAAGAAAGTAAGGCAATAAGGAAGGAAGGAGGAGGGATGGGGAAAGAGGGGTGGGAGCTGGGGATAAAGAGAGAAAACAGAGGGGAAGACAGGAGAGAAGAGAAGAAGGATGGAAAGGAGGGAGGGAAGAAAGAATCAATCAACAACCAACCAGCCAACCAGTGGTGGCCACTTGGCACTATGGCTTCTCCTAGTCACAGAGAATGATCCTGCTGAAAGAATCGCAAAATAAACCTGCATCACAGGAGGAAGCTGACTACGTGTGAACTATAAAAGCCTCCCGATGACCACAAGAAGTTTTCCTGGAGAACAGAGCTTTAATGTAGTTCAATTTAAAAAGAATAGAGGGGCGCCTAGGTGGCTCAGTCAGTTAGCATCTGAGTCTTGATTTCGGCTCAGGTCATGATCTCAGGGTCGTGAGATGGAGCCCCACGTCGGGCTCCATGCTCAGCGGGGAGTCTGCTTGAGATCCTCTCTCTCCTTCTGCCCACCCTCATGCACACAAGTGCACTCTTTCTACCTCTCTCTCAAATAAATAAATAAATCTTTAAAAAAAATAAAAAAGAATAGAAAAGGAATTGGCACCTAATGATATCAATGCTCTATCTATACACATATCATTTACTCAAACAGGAAACAAAAATTAGATATTTCCCTCTAGGCATATGAAAAGTTACCATAAGGAGAAATTTCCAAACACCCCCCCATCTCTTGAAATGTGTCTTTCCCCAATAAACCATTGGTTCTAGCTCAGCTCATCTCTTCTTTGAAGCCTTCCTTCTCCTGCCCAGTGTCCTTCCCTTAAAGCACCTATCATGTGCACTTCTCATCTGGCACAGGCAATAGTCCTTAAATCTCCTCCCTGTCTGAGCTTCTAGGATGCACTGCTAGCTCATGATACTCTCTCTACTGGTATAGATTATTCCGGATCTCTTGTCCTCAAGCTTCCCACACATCCTTCTCCTTACAGAGACTACAAGTCCCTAGAGGACCAGGACCACATAATTTACCCCAGGAGGAGCCCCCCTCCCAAAACCTAGAATAAGTGCACCACTTATAAGAGAGTGCTTAAATATCTTTACTGAACAAATGAGTGAATTAAAAAATAATCACTCGTCATAGACTGCCAAAGCTAGAACAGCCAGTTTACCAATGAGGAAACCAAGGACCAGAGAAGAAAGGCGTCACAGAGCCAAGGCCACCAGAAGAGTGCTTGCAGATCTGAGCTAGAAGCCAAATCCACAGACCCAATGCTCTTTCCATTGCTCATACTATCTGCCACATCTCTCCTCCCTGTCTGAAGGCCTCCACTCTGGGAGTTCACAGCAGCAACAAAAGAGAAAACTGTTTACCTTCCCCAGTGTGCGTGGTTCCGGAGCCAGGAGCTGGGGCTGGATTCCAGTCCATACATCACTGTGTCTCCATAGTCCACAAAGGGCTTGTTCAGCCTGGGGTTGGGGAGAGGAAGGGCAGAGTGTGTGGGTTTGACAATAAGTGGCAGAACAAAGGTAGCTCACTGAGACCGGGGCCAATTCCCCATCTGTCACCCTGGAGAAACCACTGAGTCCTGCATCTAATGCTTTCAAGGACCAGAAAATGTCGACAGGCCAGTTACTTTCTTATAATTAACAGCCATCTGGTAGAATCATTTCAGTGGGGTAAATACTACAAAGCGCATGGAAGTAGAATGTGGTCTCTGTCCCCTGGACATAAGTAAATATGACAGATGACAACAAACTGAAAAAGAACACAAAAATAACCAGGGAAAGGGAGTGCTGCAATAATTAGCAGTCACCTTTAGCTAGCACAAAGAATTTGGAGTGGTCTGCCTAAGTCCTCTCTTTCAGTGCTAGTAACAGAACCCAAAAGGACAATTTGGCAGCTCAGAGGGCTCTCACCTGCGGCAGAAGTGGTGAGCGCATTTCACCAGGATACCCATGCAGTGCACAGCTACAAGGCCTATCACCAGCAGGCTGAGGGGACCCATCTGGAGACAGGTGTTGCGGACAAGAAAGAGAGAGACAAGCAGGTAGAATTAGGAGTGAGTCCATGGAGACTGGATTTGGAAATGATCAAAACGCTACTAAGGCACCTTCCAGTGACAGAACTTCTGGCACAGCATTACAGAGAGAAATGTGATCATGGAGATCAGCTTGGTGAGAAGGGCACCATCTGAACCTTAGCATGCCTTCGAAAGAGTTAACCTCGTGGAAAAGAATGACACAAGATAAGGCTGTTCTAAAACAGCTATAAATCAGCCAAACAGAAGGCTCCTGTGGTCTGGGAAGAAGAGACAGGTGAAGGGGTGGAGGGAAGGGGTAAGTTCTCATTAGAACAATGCCAGATCAGGAAAAACGGACCTTAGCTAAGGGCCATCCACATCTCTGAGCTATCTCCAGCTCTAGAGAAACCAAATGGCTTTAGATTATAGCCTATAGGGGATGAATCATGAAAGAAAAAGTAAAATTCTCAGAGTTGGCCTCCTAGGGGTGGGGTGTGGAAGGACTATGTAGAAAACTAACAAACTTCTGTTACTAATTCATTAGTTAATATTATTGATAGAAACTCTGAGACATTTTAAGTACATCCTCCTCACCACAGAGTAAGCGCCATGAGGGCAAGAATCTCTTCTTTATTTACCAATAATATTCAGAGCCTAGAACAACATCTAATACACAGAAGGCCCTCAATAAATATGTTTAAGTGAATGAACACTTGAATTTTGCTCTTTCTTCAGCTGAATTAAAAAGCTCTCCATTTTTAAATGTTTTAAATGAGATAGATTTAAAAAAACACACACCATCTCCTAAAATTTGTCATGATTCTTCCCTCTGCCAATGCAGACCCTTACCAAGATGCCAGCATTTTTCACTGCCAGAGGCAGCCCCAGGAGTCCTGTGCCAATGTTGCCTTTTAACAGGTGGATCAAAGTCTGGAACCATCTGAAGTGGGAAGAAAGTAGACAAGGACATGTTAACAATAATGATAGCTAACATTTATTAATCATGTCGTACTGTGCTAAGCGCTTTCATGCATTATCTCATTCAATTTCCACAACAACCCTATGAGATATGTATTTATTTTATGGATGAGGAAGACACTTGCTCAAGGTCACACACCTAGTAAAGAGTTTAGTCAGGATTCAAACCCAGGCAGTCTGACCCCCGAGTCCTCTCCTGGCCTCTGTGCTGTAAGCTCTGTTCCCTGTGGCATCTCCAAGAACCCCAGCTCTCTTGGAGATTAGACCAGAGGGACACCGGGGCTCTCTGTAGGCACTTTATCCTTTCCTAGTGGCTCTGGCCTACAATTTCACCAGAGCTGTCCACTGTAAAGACTCAGATCCAAAACTGCAACAGAGGATGACAAGCATAAGTGTGAAGTACAGACACTGGTGTGAGAGAAAGATGAGGGAAATAAAAAATAGAAGCCCAGAACCCATAACAGAAATTTTTATGCGAAGTAAACAGATCAAAAGGAATACGGCACCACAATCAGCCAGTCCCTGGTGTACTTTGCATTTAAAAAAAAGTCCGGTGATGGGTATTAAGGAGGGCATGTACTGCATGGAGCACTGGGTGTTATATGAAAACAATGGATCGTGGATCACCACATCAAAAACTAATGATGTATTGTATGGTGACGAACATAACATAATAAAATAAAACAAAATATAAAAAAAGTCAAATGCCAGAGTCCTAGGATTGGAGAAGGCCTCTTCAAATGTCACCTAATTTATCCTTCTGCTTTGAGGACAGATTTTCCCCTCACCTGTTATACAGACTGTCCACCTCAAGCTGTAATTATAAAGCCTTTCATGCATTCTCATTCATTTTTTCACTCAGCAAATACTATCCGTTATATGTAAAACATTGTGTTAATACAGTGGTAGAAGTAAGTATGAATCAGATATGGACCTCAGTCTCTAGAAATTAATAATGTCTCAATGAAAATAAGGCAGATACATTAATAACCATCCAGACAGAAAGATGTCTTCTTAAGAAGTGCCCAGGAACAGGGAGGGGGAGGGGGAAGCAGGTGAGGGTTCACAGAGGGGAGACCTGAGCCCAGCCCAGCAGGATAGGCAGAGCTTGCCAGTGTGCCCATGGGGAAGAAAGGCCTGGGAACACAAGCCCAGAGAGAGACTCGGGGCACCAACACAGAGGAGTGTGTCAGTTTTGTGGCCACTTGGGTGGGGTGACGGTGAGCTATCTGTAGAGAATGGTAACTCCTCAAAGGACTGACAGCAGAGAAGTACCCTCATCTGCTGCATTTTCTATCCTGTTACCTCTAGGATACAAAACAGGTCAAATACAGCATCACTTTGCCCCCAATCACAGACTCACTCAAGATTTGGCCCCTGGCACTGTCTGGAAATTCTTTAGCACAAATACCCTAAATCCCTCCTAAATGATGCTTCCATATATTTCTTCACATCTGCAATTCAGTAGAAACTGAAAGCAAATAAGATGTGTTAACTCCTAAAGACCATAATAAATATGACCTATCTACACTCTCTGAAATGGAATTTTACTTTTGGTAACCTTTCTCCTACCTCCAGGAAGAAAACCTCTTGACCTTCCTACTGTTCCAAAGCTTTTCAGGAAAGATCAAGAAAATGTCTTTGAATCTAAATGAGAAGAGGCTGAGCACTCTTCTGGACTATCCTGGGGAAACAGCTTAAGGACCAAGGGTACAGGGGTGACTCCTTCATTATCAGCAGCCAAGTGACCAAGAGATTATGGGCAGGGCGATGGGCCGAACAAATGTCTATCTTAGCAAATGTTTAATCCACTCCAGGCAAAAGTAAGCATTGTAGCAAAACTCACCTGCCTACCAGAGGCCTCCCCAAAATGTCTCTGAGCTGGGTTTTATAGGAGATAATGTCCCTTTTAGCCCTGGCTCTGCCAGTTAACTCCATATGACAATTCCCCTCCCTTGTCTGGACCTTTGTCTCAGCTGTAGAATGAGGGGACTGGATAGGACAGCATACTTGCCAACATCTCTTCAGCTCTAAAACACCAGGATTCTAGGCAACTGGCTAACATTATTCTTTTTAATCAATGGCCCCAAGCTTGGATCACCCAAAACCACAGGGTATCAAAAAATAAACTCCACGGACTGCAAAGTCTTAACTATGGGGGATATAGGAAGGGAACCTTGCAAATCTCTATAGTTCTGTTTATGTTCTAAATCAGTAGTTTTTACACTTTTTTTTCTCGGGAGCCCTGTATACACTTATAAATTATTGAGGATACCAAATAGCTTTTGCTTATATGAATTACGTCTGGTGATATATATTACAAGTGAAAGTTGAGAAATTAAAAAAATATTAATTACTTAAAATAACAAATTACATGTAAATATAAATAACAGATTTTTTAAACTGTTATTATTTTTTTGAAGATTTTTATCCATTTATTCGTGAGAGCGAGAGACAGCAAGCGAAAGAGCACAAGGGAGGGAAGGGTAGAGGGAGAGGGAGAAGCAGGCTCAATGCTGAGCAGGGAGTCTGACACGGGGCTTGATCCCAGGACCCTGGGATCACAACCCAAGCCAAAGGCAGACACTTAACTGACTGAGCCACCCAGGTGCCCCTTAAATGGTTACTATTTTTTAAAATAACAGATTTTTAATGAAAAGTAGTTCTATTTTCCAAAATAAAAAATGGCATTAATTTACCTTTTCTGCAAACCTCTTTAATGTTTTGCTTGATAGCTGGATTATCTACTTCTGCATTCAATCTGTTGTGATATGTTGTTTTGGTTGAAGTACATAAAGAGTATCTGTCCTCATACAGACATGCAGTTGGAATGTGTTTTAATAGTCTCTTCAGACAATTGTGGTAATTTTCCTTTGATACTACACCGAAATTCGACACGTGGTTGTTTCTTAGAAGTTAGTTATAATGTGGAGTCTGAACTTTTCAAGATCCTATCACATTAAAACCTACTGGTGATCTTGCCCTTCAAATGGATCTTTTACTCATGCACAATTTTCTAGTATCACACTGGCCATTTGGAAGATATTAGTTCCCTGAATTATGCAGATCTTCCAAATGCTGGCATATTTCATTATACAGTATCTGAAAAAATCCCATTTATTTAATATCACTAATCTTATCAGAAGTCTCTAAGTAGAGGGAAGCTGTCAAGCTCAGGGTTGGATACTAGTTTTTTTTCTAGTTTTGCTTGAAAGCTCAAATTTTATTGTGGGCAACAAATACCATTGATTGTTTTTTCTTGAGGTGATGGTCTCATTCCTTTCATTTTCAAGAAATGAAGTACTCAGTACTGCCAAATACTCAGGTCTGAATAACCTACAGTTCGTTAGTTCTTTCTAGCAAAAATAGTGCTCTACAAAAAATAAAAAAAGCAATTAGTTCAGTTCACAATTCCAATAATCACTCAAGGTCTTGTCCTTGAGGCAAGTATCATATTTGGTAGGCAGTAGAAGTATTTCATGTCTACTTCTCATTTGGTCACGCAGATTATTTAAAACTCTGTACTGAAGGGTTAAGTAATAAAATAAGTAATCTAACTGCTTCATCAAGGACCTGCTTAAGTGAAACTGGCTTATTCTTCATACATGTGTGGCAGCAAAAAATACAATGACTAGCATAAGTTGGTGGCACTGCCCTGGTTTATGCTAATGTATCAGCAATTTTACCCACCACTGCTGCTGAACTATCCGTGTAAACGTCAACACAGTGAAAAGACAAATAACATCTTAGCATTATTATGAAAATAGTTTCAATTTCACAGACTTCTTGAAATGGTCTCAGAAACCCCAAAGGGTCTGAAGACCACACTTTGCAAACAACTGCCCTAGATAACCTAGAGAAAGCAGTTTCGGTCAACTGGATTCTCAGCCTGCCAGCCTGGGAAAAAGTACCAAAGCTCGATCAACAGCTGGTATAATGTGACCCAATAGGGCAACAAGAAGAAAAACTTGCCCAATAGAATAAAATGAGGCTGTTGTCAAAGCAGTCAATAGCTTGACAACATCAAGTGTTAGGAAATAACCTCACTAAACACACCATTATGGAAGTGTCTGGGCTTCCTATCTGCACCCCCGATTAGGGATTTTCACTGAATCCCTAACGCTTAGAAGAGCCAGTTATGTGCATGCATGTACTTTATTCCTTGTATTTTGTTCCTCGTACTTTGTTCTGCATTCTTTGCTCCTTGGCAAACTAGTAACAGGGTGGAGCAAGGCACAGTAGACAAGAAATCCAGCTCAAAAACTTATCTCTAACACTCTGACATATCAGAGATTCACGAGAGCTAACACGGTCACCTGAATCAGCTTATACCTTAAGCACACCTGGCACGTTTTCTACACCTAAATGCTTACGTGGATCCGGGCCCCAGGCAAGTACTCAACCAACCCTCCAAGTCCAAGGGAGAACTTTCCCCGGGTCACTTGCGATACCTAATCTCATTTACAGATGGGTTTTCCTGGTTCCATATACCACAATATCAGGGCAGGATGGACCCTCACAACAAATCATACCCTAGAAAATATGCCAATACAAGCCCAAGGAAGGTATCTCCTGATTTTCTCAATTTCTAACAAGCAAGGAGAAATAATTTTAGGTTGACTACTAGTTATAATCCAATGTGAAAAAAAGGTAATGAGAATAGCTAACAAGCACACATTACTTTCAATACATACAAAACCTGTGAACTACCATCCTGAAGTTGCTAGTGGTTGGTTTTGAACTTCAGAGAGGTCCCTTTAAAAATGAAAATCTAGACCCCATATGGCAAACATTGCACAGACAAGCTGATGCCTGAGAACAAGAAGGAGCAAAAACTGGAAGGAAACTATGGAGACAGAAGCTCAGAAGAAGTATTTCACCTCTGAAGGGAAGCTATCACATGCCACTGGCTGCATCTGGAGCTCCTTCTGCCTGGGGGAAGCGAACTGAGTGGACAGGTTAGGAAAACAGGGGAAAGATGGTCCTCACTGCTTCCAGTTGTTTTCTATGCAATCTTTCCCATCAGCCAACACTGCAAGCAAATGGGGGAATCTATAAAAGCATGCCACATGAGAAATAAGCTATAGAGACTGAATCTTTAGGAGCAGAAATCAGCTAGTGCTAATGTGGACAGACCATATCCTCTAGTTCTATCCCAGTTCACAAGAGAAAATGCCCTGCTCCAGAGGGAGCTTCACCAGTAATGACCTCCAAGAGAAGCTTCAATAGTAGGCTTGGGCAGTCACATGGGAAAGCGTAAGTCTAGCACATGAAGGATCCCTCGATAAGTCACACCCAACCCACAAGGGAACGCAGAAAGGATAATAGCTAAGCTTGGGGAATAAACAGAAAGGCCAAAAAAGATGGAATGCTGGGATCTAGAGAAAATATCAGGGGTCTGTTGAGATTCAGGATTGAGTCAGAGAAATCAATGGGGTAGAAAACCCTCCTCTGAATCTTCTAATTCAAGTGGGTGATTAGCAGTCAGCACAGCTTCACAGTGGGGTCCTCAATTTTCTCTTACATTTGGGGAAACTAAGGCCCAGAGAGGGCCAAACTCCACCCAAATGAGTCATGAATGGGATTCAGTTTCTAGAGATAAGACTTACCCCTCCATAGAGAATGCTAGGCAGACCTCTTCTTCTCAACCTCGAATTTTTTTAGGTGGGGGGAGGGAGGAAAGAGAGGGAGTGGGGAGAGGAGGGGCAGAGGTAGAGGGAAAGAGAGAATCTTAAGCAGGCTCCACGCCCAGTGTGGAGCCCAATGTTAGGCTCGATCTCACAACCCTGAGATCATGACCTGGAGCCAAAATCAAGAGTCTGACGCTTAACCAACTGAACCACCCAGGCGCCCCTCAACCTCGAATTTTTTAAGTGCAGGAGAAATTATTCCTTCCTGCCTCTTACCACTTCTTCAGCCAAATGAACTGGTCTTTTGGTGATGGGGACAGAAGTCTAGGCGAGACTCTGCAAATGAAGCTTCCAATTGAGCCTAGAAGTATTTGAGGTTCTAGCACAGATGACCCATGGTCCTGAATTAAGAGAATGTTCTCTCTAGAAGCTTCTCTTATGTTCAGCACCAGCCTTCCAGGACCAACACAGCTGAAAGGAGTAAAGAATATAAAACATATGGGAGGGACAGTGGCCAGCAAGGAACTCAAATCTCAGAGCTGTTACTCACCCAATCTCTTTATATCTTCCTTCCATCTGTAAAACGGGGAATTGATAAAATAGGGGAGCAAAAATACCTCTAAGGGAGACTATGTTACTAATACAGAACGTAAAAACATGAGTCACACCCAGGAGGGAAGAAGAAATAGCTACTTACGTTGTGCTGTTACCTTCCCCAAACCGCTGGTAGGAGCCCTGAGACGAGAAGTTGTTTAGGCCTTCGGATGGGCTCTCCTCTGGGCTCACATCCGTGGAGCTGTAGTCGTGGTAGTCCTCATTCCGAAGTCTCTGCGTGGACATGGTAGCTGGGGGGACAGGGTCACTGCTAAGACCTCCAGCAGCTGGGGCCTTTAGCTCCAAGCCTGTGGTGGGCTCTGGGGCAGAAGCAGCCATTGTCACAGCAGCTCAGTGACCGCTGCACTATGAATTAAGTACAGTGACAGTGGCTCATACCAAGGGAACTGGGAAAAGTGCAAAGTACACATGGGCGGGCTGAGCTCACTTGGCTTCTGTCTCCCAACCTTCTCAATATCCCACTCATAAATTTCTGAATTTGCCACCATACACCTGGACAGAGCAAAGGTGAGGCACTGCGTGGGATGAGTGGGGGAAGATGCAGACAGGTGCTTCCAGGAAGCCTTCTCTGTGTCTTTGGTTGGGAGTAACTATCCCCTCCTTTGAGCTGATTTCTTTGAACACTGAACAACAGTTATATTGTATCTATGTCCATCTTCCCCAGGAGTCAAGCTCTCAGAGGATGAGAACCTGACTAGTCCTCACCACATCTTATTTTTCTCCTGCATGCATTAGAAAAAGGACCTTGTTGCATTCAAAAAATCCCCTCCAAATCATCCAATTCTGCTCAGATTCCCCACCAGGTTCCAGAGCCAACAGATGACTTCCTCTCTCTCTCTCCACCATGACCTCTGGCCCATCCTGTACTCTTTGGAGGTCACCAGTGACCCTCTTCCCTGACCCCAGGACTCTTATCTTGCAATAAGCCAGAATTGCAAGCAGCTCAAAGAGCAGGATCATGAGAGGGCTCACCACTGGCCCTCATTTCAATCCTTCCCCTCCAGACTCTTCTTTCTTATTTTTATGGATTTGCCAACTTTGTAAAGATGGTGAAAGAAGAAACCCTTTCTGTTGTGTGCTGGGGAAGGATGGTGAGGGTATTGTCTCCAGGGTGGACTTTCTCAGTAATGTTACTACAAGAAAGAGAAGAACAACTTCTCTGAGCCACACGATAAGGATACATTTTGGGAGTTCTGTAAGCTCCCAGAACCCTAGACACTATTACTAAAAGAGCCTTCAGAGGTCACTCCAAACTGATCATTTTACAAATAAAGAATCAACCCCCAAAATGATGAAGGAACCTGCTCTGCTACAGGCAGGTAGCAGCAAAGCAGTAAACATAGATCCTGCTGCCCTGCCTGAACCTGGAAACATCTACTAAAGGCACTGCCACTTGCAATGAGGGAATATTGTAACGAGAGAGAGCCAACTTCCTACCCTCCAAGAATCTGCAATCAAGTGAGGAAAGAAAAGTATATGTATCTTAAAAATTACCAAAAAAGTCCTCCTGACACTTGGCAGACGGGCACAACTGCCTGCCTATAAGCAGGCTCTCCCCCAGCATGCAGCTGAAGCCCACCATAAATCTGCTGCGCTGTCTCAAATACCTGGTGAGGAGACAGGATCTCTGTGGGTCATCACAATCCTGCCCAACCCCCAACACTAGCTGCCAGAGGATAGCTCTGTGCTGAAGGCTCCCATGGGTCAAGTCCCAGGGGACTCTTTGGAAACTGGCCCTACTCTGGCCCCTAAGTGATCCAGGGTATCTCATTTTCCCCCACCAACCATAATGAAGAGTGGACCCACATAATCCCACAGGGAAAGTGCCTGGCAGAAAGCCAGTAAAGGCTCTGGAAGTCCCAGAGAGGATGCTGCCCAGCTTCACTACCAGAGTGACTTTGCTAAATATCTAAGAGGGCATCATTTACTCGCATGCTGGAAGGATTCAAAGAAGTCATCTAGTTCTGGGGGAATTAAACTCATAAGACGGCTAGGGGGAAAATATCTATAAAGTATCTTAATATGAACAGTTGAAAGCTGCTATCCAAGCAAAGCTAATAGGTCAGCATCTATGTATGTCAGAAGGCCTGGGTTCTGAGGCTGACTCTATCGCCAGTTTCTTTAGTAACAGGGAATAATTCTATTTACCCCAAATGTGCAGCAAGGGGTAAGGGGCAATAAACTGAAAGACCTCTCAGCATCTCTCTAGTGCTAATATTCCAGGAATCAACTAATGTAATCATCTATGCAAACAACAGCTAATTTCTAGTATTTTCCAACATAGCAAAGTGTCTGAGGAATAGAGCCTTCCAGGTGAATCCTGCATATTACTGAGGGAGAAGGGACAGGATACAGGGACTGACAAATTCCCCTACCCCTCCCCAACAACGAAGAAGCCACTCTATTGCTTACTTGGCCCAGGCACTCAATTTATTTCAAATACTGCAAAGAGGCTTCTTTACGTTGTGTATAAAAATTGAAGTTACCCCCAGCAGAATATTGCTAAGAAACTGCTCAAACAGAAGCTAAAATCTATAGATCCAAGGTCTGAGAAACAACTGCAGGATCCGGCAAATGTGGCTTGGCAACTGTATGCATGTTGAAAAGAAAAAAATAACAGTATTTATGAGTTTTAGCTGATGATAAGCTCGACAGAAGTCAATGATTTAGTAACAGATGCCAAATCAGCTAATTCTAGGTTGCACGAGGTGAGAACCACAGGTAGAATGACAGCACCGTTTGTTTTGCTCTGCATTATATTCTGTTCCAGTCAGTATACTATTAAGGGGATAATAAACTGTGGTGTAGCGAGGGCTCAGCACCAGCCTGAGGAGGGATGACTAGAGGCACTGAGAAGGTTCAAACTGGAGAACTGGCAACTTGGCAGGTATAAAAACTGCTTTTAAAAGCTGTCCTATGGATAAGACTTGCCCTGTGGGATGGCGAAGATGAGTAAGAAATAGGATCAGTAGGTGGAAAGTAGAGAGAGGCAGGTCTTTGGCTAGGCATAAGGAAACAGAGTAGTAGTTGCCTAGGGCTTGGGGTACGGAGTTAAAAGGAATAAGCAGGGGACACCTAAGGAATAGTTTCTTTTGGGGTGGTGAAAAGGTTCTAAAATTGATTGTGGTGATAGTTGCACATCTCTGTGAGTATACTAAAAGCCACTGAATTGTACATTTTAAATGGTTGAACTGTATGCCATGCCATGTGAATTATATCTCAATAAAACTGCTTTAAAAAACCAAACAGATTTCTCGGCCCAATCTGATTCAACCTAAGCATTTTTATTTTTAACCATCTTCCTAAATGATCTTGATTACAGGTGGATTTATAGGCACTAGAAAAATACATATGATCTTATTATGATAGGTACACCCCAGGCCTCATCTCCTACCAGAGTTCAAGGATAGGTGATATTTGCAGACTGCAAGTGCCACCCATTATTCTGAAACAATTACATTGGGTTAGACTTTGGAACCCAAGGAAACAGCAAATTCTCTAGATGCATTTTTCTCTATCGCTGGAATTCCAAAGTCATGAACAAGGACACAGACTGTGTTGCTATGTGTGGTCTACAAGGAGGAAAGTGAAAATTTCTAACTTCCACATGATTTGTTTTTAAAGGGCATCAGATAAAAATCCATTTAACCTACCACAGAAGTACATTCCATAATTTGACTCCTGCCTAAAAGAGTCTGGTGAGAGGGCAGCCGCAAAGCAGCTGCTGATCTCAGCAGGCTCTGCACAGGAGGTGCTGACAAGACAAACACGCTCACTTTTTACACACAATCCTAAAAACCACTAAAATGTTAGTACCATGCATGACTTACAGAAGATCTAAAGCCCCAGCTTCTCACCAAAGGCGAGAAAACCAAGGCCCCAGCTGTTAAAGACATGGGATTAGAATACAACATACAAGATTCTCAGTCCATGCTTCTATCACACCATAAATTATCTATCCTCCCTGCAATCTCCCTTGGAACAAAACAGGGGCAAGATTAGGTGTGCAGGGGGAATTCCGCATGACAAAAAGTACATGAGTTCAGAGCTAGATGCAATTATCATTATAGAGAAGTTCAAGAGCAGGAAGTCAGAAAGTTCACTATGCAAATGTGCAATTCTACAGTTCTTCTCCATTTTATCACTCTGGAGAGCTAAGCCAGGTCCTCATCTTGGAAATGGTGGTCTATGTGCCATGAGCATCCCAGGAACACAGATAGATTCCTGACTTCACGGAATAGGGAAGCACAGAAGAGTATTTCGTACTATAGAGGGTCATTGAGAACTGACCCTGGGTGTCAAGGCTTCCAAGAGAAATGTTTGGGAGATAAAAGAAGAGATGGCACCAAATGCAACATCATGAGGTTTCTATTTTGGCACATTTAGAATGTCTCATCCATGGGACTCCACACCCATAAAACAGAGCTAGCTTTGTGTGCTTAGACCCAGTAAGGCCTAGCTGAAGGAGGGAGACTCAGGATTCCTCCAAGGTTTGGGTTGAGGTAAAAAGACTCAGTGTGAGTTTCCTCTGCGGAACAAAGAGAAAAGCTAGGCTAGATGTTAGTGGTCAGTCAGTCACACACTTCTGGAAGGGGTTATCAGAGCCAGGCCAAGCCAAAGTAGAAACCAAAGTCCATTCACTCAGCCCAGTTCTAGGACCTTGCTTTCAGGTCAGGGTGGAAAGAAGAAATGTATCATTAACAGCACAATGACTCTTCAGCATCTGATCTTGGAAGAGATAGCAAGCATTTAAAGAATTGAAACACTCCCTGGGGAGGGGAGGAGGAATTAAAAAACACACACACACACAAGAGTACTTAACACAAGAGAAAGTAGTTGTCTGAGGCAAGGGGAAAAAATAAAGCAGTCACAAAAGTGGACACCCACTCTACTTGACATTCTACATGCTAACAAGTCCAGTCCTAGAATTTCACAAGAACCCTGAGTTGGAAGAAAACCTCAAACTTTATCTAGTCCAAAGCTCTACCCAACACAATAAACATAACCTATAACATTCCCAGATGTAATTGTCCAGTGACAATTACCTCCAGTGACAGGTTGTGTGCTGCAACATGAAAGAGCTCTTATTCTTTGAAAGTTCTTACGCTCACCCAAAAACTACTTCCCTTTGGCACTTGCATCCATTGGTCCTAGCTGTAGTCTCAGGAATACTGCAGAAGAAATGGAATCTGCCTTTAAAATAGACAAAGACAGCTCTGAGCAACTTCAAGCTGCCAGAGAGATGGGGCTGAATGAACAGCTACATGGTTTAAAGGGAAAATAAGAACTCAACAGCAGGCCATTATAACAGCATGGCACAATCAGAAAACAAAGGAAGAGAGACTTAATACCGGCAAAATAGCAGCCTCTTCTTCATACAGCCTCCACCCCACAGTCTCAAACTCAGAGCAAAAGACTGTCTTTTGTGTCCCCTTTACTTCCTCCACAAAAACATCTTTAAAGAAAACATACTCTAAATGTACAAGTTAATTACTGTAGACTAGGCTCTCAACAAGAGTCAAAGAGGGCCTTGATCGTGGTTAAAGTAATTAAAGACAGTCAAAATCATTTTCAGCTGTCAATATTTAGATTGGAATTAATACAGTGATAAGACGGAGGAGGATTTCATGGTAACCTAGAAATAAGTGAAGTAGGGAGACTGCTTCCTGGACAACTGGATTAACCCTTGTCGAAAGGCGACAGTAATGTACACGGGGGGAAGCCCACTCGGATTAGAAGACAGAGCTAGAGGCACAGAATGTCAGAGCAGAAGAGGTCCTGAGGGATTCAACTCCATCATTGTACAGGCTGGGAAACCCAAACCCACTCGAGGATGGGAGTCACCCAAGGTTGCAAAGCAAGTGTCAGAGTTAGAACAAAATCTCCCAATTCCCCAATCTCGGTTCTTTCCATTACACCGTGCCGCTATCTCATTTCAGCAAGCCTCAAATGACTGCATCCAAATAACCAATATTCCCCAAATGAGACAAGCAAGCTACAGAAAAACTAAAGCCCAGGGCTTGGGGTGCCTGGGTGGCTCAGTCGTTGGGCGTCTGCCTTCGGCTCAGGTCATGATCCCAGGGTCCTGGGATCGAGCCCCGCATCGGGCTCCCTGCTCAGCGGGAAGCCTGCTTCTCCCTCTCCCATTCCCCCTGCTTGTGTTCCCTCTCTTGCTGTGTCTCTCTCTGTCAAATAAATAAATAAAAAATCTTTAAAAAATAAATAAATAAATAAATAAAGCCCAGGTCTTTACATTCTTCAGGTCAATGCCAGGGCTCTCCACAACTCCTGCTGGGAGCAACCTCCCCTCCCAGGAGCATAATCCAATTCTTATTGCATATTTCAGCACCATTTACACAAAATAGCAGGGCGTTAGAAGCAAAACCTACAGAGTGATGAGGCTGCAGAAAAAATCGTGAACATTGGAACAGGGAACCACACCCAGAGCCGAGCCAATCTGGGAGATGGAGAATGCAGAGCTAAAAGAGGGAGCGCCAGGAGAGGAGAGGACAGGAAAAGGGTGCCTTTTCACATGTCAAGTTGTCCGCAGGAGGCAGTGTGCTGAAAAGCAAACAGCTGCTGGAGCTTGGGGAGACTTGGATTCTAGTCGCACGGCTGCCACTAACTCACTGGGTGACCTTAGGCAAGCCCCGAGCCTCGATTTCCCCAACTGTCCTAGAAGGGGGTTGCACCAGATGATTTCCCGGGAAGGGTCCCAGTTCTGGTGTTCTATGACCCAAAGACCCCGCTATTCGCAAGTCCCCAGCAGGGCTCCCCAGAGGGCGGGTGACTTGCCCGAGACGACTGGGCCCCTTTGGGAAACGTGGAAGAAGCCCTGGCTGGTCGTCTGGGTGACCTTTCCCATCTCGGTACCTCAGTTTCCCCACCTGTCAAACGGCGAGGAGAGGTCAAGGGAGACAGTGACTCCAGTTCGCCTCATCCCCGGAGGGGTGTCCGCATCTTACCGCGGCTGAGGCGGGGAAGCCGAGGAGACTCGGGCCCGCACCCCGAGCCGGTCAGTGCCTGCCCCGGAGCATCCGCTGCGCCCCACAGAAAGGCGACCTGGGTCCTGCCTGAGGCGGTAACTCGCCGCCAGCCCCGGCCAGTCAGCGCGAGGACTCACCGCTCGAGCTCCGGCTTGGGCTCCGCTCCGGCTGTGGCTCCCGCGGCAGCGCAGCCCACCGATCCTCGCCTCAGCGCGGAGCCCCAGCCATCCCCCTTAGCTGCCGGGGCCCGCGGCTTCCGGGCCCCGTCACGTGATCCCGTCGCCCCAGCCAGAGACCCGGGTCACGTGTCCCCGCGCGCGTGGCAGCTCCCCTCCTGTCACGAAGCTCCGGAGCCCGGCGCCACAGCACCACCTGGCGACCTGTTGCTGCCACTGCAAGGCAGGGCCTTGCTCCGGGGACCTGGGACCTGGGGCCTGGGACAACTGAGCGCGGCCGGCGAGTCCCTTAGCTCTGTCCCTCGAGCCCTGGGCTCCTATCTACACACGTCGTGTTTTCCTTAACACGTCGCGGGGAGCATATGTTGCTTTTATAATTTAAAAAAATACATCTTTAAAAAATCACCTAGTCAGGTTTTTCGAAGCTTGTACAAACTCATTTGTGGTTGCTCCTGGAAATGGGACTGTGTGAGGTAAGGCAACATTATCTTTTTAATACATTTAAAAATTTAAGTAACACTTTAAAATGGATGGCAACATTTCAGTATGTTTGAGGCGTATGTGTTATCTAGCCTTCTCTTGCTTCCTTCTCCCTGAATTTTCCCTTGAAAAATTATGTAACTAAAAAATAAATAAATAAAATAAAAATGATGTAATGGCTCACCCCCAAAAAAGAATAAACTACTGATACAGCTACAAAATGGATAAATCTTAAAATAATTATGCTGAGTAAAAGAAGTCAGAAAACATATTCCATTTAATTTCATATTCTAGAAGATGTTAAATAATCTTCAGTGACAGAAAACATATCAGTGGTGGCCTGGGAGTGGGTGGGGAGGTCAGGAGAGGAGAGATTATGAAAGGTCATAAGGAAACTTTCCAGGTGACAAATATTTTCACTGCCTTGATTGTGGTGATGGTTTCACAAGTGAATATAGATTTTAAGTTATCAAATTATACACATTCAATACATGCAGTTTAAATAAATAAATAAAAATTTTAAAATATGCGTTAGTTTACTGTATGTCAACTATACCTCCATAAAGCTGTTAAGATAATAAAAATTATATAATACATTAATATATTCTTAGTATTAGAGATGTTAGACAATATGTAAGTATATAAATAGTGAAAAATTCCCTTCTCCCAAATTCACTCTCTTCTCCAAAGAATTACAGTTACCAGCATATGAGTATTACTCTCCATACCCTATATTATGTATTTATAGAAATGTTTGTATATAGAGATATACAGAGATTTGTGGTGTTAAAATCTAGAATTATGAATAACAGTACTTACTGTTTTGCTTAAGACTTTTACTCTTCACTGTCCATACAGTCTAAATTATTTCATAAACATACATTACTTTATATACATACATTTAAAATCTTTATATGTTCTATAACCTATGCATATGTTTTTAAAAATATACCCCAGTTGGTTCATTTCACCAAGGAAAGAGAAAAGAACGCAGGTTCATGCTCAGTTTAAAATAGGAAGGGCAGGGGCGCCTGGGTGGCTCAGTCGTTGGGCGTCTGCCTTCGGCTCAGGTCATGATCCCAGGGTCCTGGGATCGAGCCCCACATTGGGCTCCAGGCTCCGCGGGAAGCCTGCTTCTCCCTCTCCCACTCCCCCTGCTTGTGTTCCCTCTTTCTCTGTGTCTCTGTCAAAAAAATGAATAAAATCTTTAAAAAAAATAAAATAGGAAGGGCAGTGAGCTCATTCCATCCCTGGAAGAACCCACCAGTTCATTGCTGAGTGCCAGGAACTGTGCTTGGAATGCTTCTGAGCGCATATCACCTCCAGGCCTTGAATTTCATTGATTCTATGGCTCTTTCTAAAATCTTAGTAAAGAAAGCCAAATCTTATGAGAACCACAGAACTCCCTGTTGGAATTACTGATGCAAGTGGGAATTTGCCTTCCCCAATTTGCTCCTGGGGTGCATTGACTATAATAAGGATTTTTTCTTATACCTGGTCACCACACTCTTACTGGAGATACCCTTGAAAAAAGGTTGCATCATTTTCAGATACTGTTTAGATTCTATCAACCTTATCATTATGCAGTCCTAATTAGAAATTAACACAATTTTATCTCCTTCCAACTATACAAATCTCCACCTCTGCTTCCACAGTTTACTCAGAAATACAAATAAAGATTTTCTATTCAATATGGATACATAAATAAGCACTTTGCCTCTTTTACTCTTAGAAAACTATGCAAAAGCAAAAAGGAAAAACTTTGAAAACTCTATTTTCAGCAAAGGTAGAAGATAGAATCCACAGGTACCAAAACACGTGTAAGGGCTAAAAAAAGCAGCTGAGATCAGATAGAAGCTATGAAGGAGAATGGAAAAGAAACTCAAAGAGAAGTAAAGGGACCCAGTGGGGGCAGATCTCAGAAACGTTCCAGTGAAAACACTCTTCCTGAAGACAAAGAGCTCACTTAGAGCTGCATGGCTGTATTTTTTTGTTTACAACAATGCACATGGAAACAGTTCAGCAAAAGCTCTCCTGAATCTGGTTTGGATTAGGGAAGCCAAGAAGATGAGGATGACAAGAATCACAGGGATGAGCCATATTTACAAGAAGTAATTGTTCTGTGGCACCAGAACATAAAAGACTGGAAATACACTTGCTGGTGAGGATGTAAAGCAACTGGAAGTCTCATCAGCTGCTGGTGGGAGTGTACAATGATGCAACCACTTTGGAAGACTGTTTGACAGTTTTCTTTTTTTATGAAGTTAAACACATAACTCTCCTGTGATCCAGCAATTCCACTCCTAGGTATTCACCCAGGAAAAACCAAGATGTTTGTCCACACCAGGGCCATGGACTAGGGTGAGGCAAGCAAAGTGCTTCAAGTGGGAAATTTAATGAGGCACTCACTTTCAGGGTTCTACAAGTGCAGGGTTGGCACTTACATGAACCCAAGAGTGAGTGCCTCCTTAAATTTTGTGACCTAGGCTTCTTGGCTTGCCTCACCTTCATCCAGGCTGTTGTCCATACAGACTTGTATTTTCACAGCAGACAGCTCAATAAAGCTAAATTAGTAACAACCCATATATTTACCAATAGGTGAATTGATAAACAAACGATGGCATATAGAGCAGAAAGGAACCATTGATATATGCAAAAATGTGGATGAATCTCATTATGTTAAATGGAAGAAGCGAGACACAAAAAACTGCACACTATATGATTCGATTTATATAAATTTATAGAATGAGCAAAACCGAGTCCGGTGACAGAAAGTTGAACAATGGTTGCTTGGGATGTGTCAGGTGGGGATTGGCTGCAAAGAGACACAGAGAGCTTTCTAGAGTGATGCTAATATTCTATATATTGATTGGGATGCTGGTTATGTGGGTTTATACACATGTCAAAAGCCATTACCTGGAATATTAAATATGTTAACTTGATTGTAAATAAATTGTACCCCTTAAGGTTAATTTTAAAATGTTAAAGAGATTATCAGACATCCAAGGAAAGTCTCTAAGATATAATAATCAAATGCGCAAACCCATGAAGCACTTTGGAGGAGACTGTGCAAAAAACAAACGCACAACCAAATACCCTCAGAAAGATAAGATGGTGCAATCATGACATAAGAACAACAGCAAAAAATGTTGCTTTTAAAAAATATTCTGAGGGGAAAAAACAGCTCTTGGAAGTTAAAAATGTAATGACAAAAATGAAGAATCAAGTGGAAGAGTAAGAACATAAGGATAAGGAAATTTGTTATTTTTCATTAATAAATATTTATTATCTATATGCCGGGCAGCGGGAATAGAACAGTGAACAAAAGAGACAAAAATCCCTGCCCTTGTGAAGCTTACATTTGAGTGAGTGGAGATAGACAACACAAATAAATAATATACATATCGTGTCAGCAGGTGTATCTGTTATGGAGAAAAATCAGGAAAGTGGGAGAGGGAGTCTGGGGGCAGAGAGGGGGGATTGCAGTCTCTTTAAACAGTCAGGGAAGATACCCCTGAGAGGTGGTACCTAAACAAAGTCCTAAAGTAGGTGAGGAAACAAACCCTGTGCATTTCTTGAGAAGAGCATTCTGGGCAGAGGGAATAGCATGTGCTAAGGCCCCAGGAGGGAATGTGCCTAGCCTATTTGAAAAATTAAAAGGAGGTCAGTGTGCATGATACTATATATAGAAAACCCTAAAGATTCCACCAAAAAACTACTAGAACTGATAAATGAATTCAGTAAGGTCACAGGACACAAAATCAATATACAGAAATCTGCTGTATTTCTATACACTAATAATAAGTAGCAAAAAGAGAAATTAAGAAAATGATCCCATTTACAATAGCACCAAAAAGAATAAAATACCTAGTAATAAACTTAACCAAGGAGATGAAAGACCTGTACTCTGAAAACTATAAAACATTGGTGAAAGATATTAAAGACGACACCAAGAAACAGAAAACCATTCCATGCTCATGGATTGGGAGAACAAATATCGTTATTTGTTCCTATAAAAATACCAACAGTACTTTTCACAGAACTAGAACAAAAAATCCTAAAATCCTAAGATTTGCATGGAATCACAAAAGATCTCAAATAGCCAGAATAATCTTAAATGGAAGAACAAAACTGGAGGTATCACAATCCCAGTCTTCAAGATGTACTACAAAGCTGTAGTAATTAAGACAGTTGGTACTGGCACAGACACATAATTCAATGGAACAGAATAAAGAGCCCAGAAATATACCCAAGATTATATGGTCAACTAATCTATGACAAAGGAGGCAAGAATATCCAATGGGGAAAAGATAGACTCTTCAACAAATGGTGCTGGAAAACTGGACAGCTACACATAAAAGAATGAAACTGGACTGCTTTCTTACACAAACATAAACTCAAACTGGATTAAAGACCTAAATGTGAGACCTGAAACCATAAAAATCCTAGAAGAGAGCACAGGCAGTCATTTCTGACATCGGCTGTAGCAATATTTTTCCAGTTATGTCTCCTGATGTGAGAGAAATAAAAGCAAAAATCAACTATTAGGACTACATCAAAATAAAAAACTT